CTTATTCTCAGACCAACCTTCCCACCTTCTTCCTCTAGAGTATCCGCCATCTTGCGGACTTCTTCTTCGCACTTTCCCAATAATGCTAGATTGTCCGGATACCCAACAATCTTGTGATTACCGTTCAACTCCACTCCGCCGCTGACCTCTCATACTTTTCGAATGACGTTTTCAAGTGCTGAGTTAAACAGTAACGGAGAAAGCGCATCTCCTTGTTTAAGACCAGTAACTACCTCGAATTCCTCAGACAGCTCAGTTCCTGCTCTAACCCTCATCCTGCTGTACTTAGTGGCCACCTCAACCATCCTCACTAGTTTTTGCGGTATTCCGAAGGACCATAAAATGCAGTATAATGTGTTCCTGTCAACACTATCGTACGCCTTTGTAAAATCCACTAAAAGACAGTGAATATTTTGCGCGTATTCCCATTTTTTTCCATCAGCTGCTTGAGAAGAAAGATTTGGTCGCACGTGCTGCGGTCGCGGCGAAATCCGCATTGATAGTCGCTTATAATTTTCTCTGCCAGTGGTTGCAGTCGGCCCAGGAGAACGTACGAAAAGACCTTGTATGCCGCAGGGAGCAGTGCAACTCCCGGGTAATTAGCACATATCTTTCGGCAGCCTTTTTTGTGAATGGGGCAAATGACACCAACATTCCACTCATCAGGTTGTATTTTGTTTTTTTACAATTTTGTAGGTATGTTACCTTACAAATATCTTCTTTTATACCTGATGTTTTGAAATGGGTTGAAAAATGTTTTTAATAGGGAAGATGCAAATATAATATTTATGAAAATTTCATGATTAAAATATTAAAAAAGTATAAAAGAAAGGCCACTGCAACATTTTATTCTACATACTGTTGTTTTTTAACAATAATTACGAATTAAAAATGACTTGAAAAAGAACGTATTTTAAATCACCAATCAGCGTTTAGTGACGTCACTCCTGTTATGACAACTAGGGGATATGGTTGAAAAGTGAATATTTTATGGGAATATTAATTGCGTTTTTTAATAAAAATGGTAGTTGATTTTATCAAAGCAGACTCCAGAAATTTACCAAGAGTTAGTGTTGACATGTTTGTAACTTTTTTGTCCAACGTGCAGAGTTTTCAAGTGTAGAAATGAAAGGAACTAAATTACTACGGTATGTATAAACTATAAATCGTAGTTGTTAAACTTTGAATTTATTCAGCGGCTTCTACACATAGCAGTTATTTGAGCTCAACAAGAGAATCTTACGGCGATAATGCAATCGGCTGTCCAAATTAAAAGAAAGAAGAAAGAAAGAATGGAGAATTTTGTACAGTAAAAAGTCGAGTTACTCCGGAGCATAAAGTACGTAAAAATGGGTATCGTATCGTGTTACAGTTATTTTAAATGAAACCGCAACGCTTGGTTTAGTTCTGCCAATGTGAAGATTGTACCACACATTTTAAACTTTATCCATTTTCGACGTTATTCTCTAACTGTAAAATAAAAAAAAATGGGTACGTGTACTTATGTAGACGCGTGAGAAGTTATCCTTCTTTCGCATCGTTTAAAATTAGTTTTTAATTGCATGCAAATAATTAATTATAATAAATTAATAAAAAATGGTTGCCTGTAAAGTCGGTTTTACGGGCGAAGATTTTACGTGACAACGTCTTTTTCTCGGTAGAATATTTATTGATATGAATATAATTAAATTGCACAATAGGAACAAGGAATTGAATGAAAATAAGAATTGCACAAATTTTAACTATAGAAATATATTTTGTTTACTAAAACATTGTACATGTAAACTTAAACTTAACACGAGAGACTTATCGTAACGTTACCGAGCGTTACACTTTTTCATAAGTGACTCCCAGCCGCAACCTAATTTAAGACGTTGTCACGTCAAAAAGTCTGGAAAAGGACACAGTCAATAAAGTTCAGTTTTAATTTGAAAAAATAAATAAATAATCAAAATATTCAATTAAAATCGCTACTGAATATAATTTATTAGAACATATGTGATTTGCACTTGTATGAAACTCAAACACGTATTCCGAATATACAAACTAGAAACATGTGGATAAATATTATAAATATGAATACCTATAACTGTTACTTCATTACAAAAAATAAAGATGCGGTTTTTGGTTCTACTACACCAATGGTCAAGAGATGGCGCTGTAGTCTCCTGAATCGCGCTTTGGTTCCGTTGTTCCAGATTAATAAATACTTTTGATATTATAAATATGAATACCTTTATCTGTTACTTTATTACAAAAAATAAAGATGTGGTTTTTGGTTCTACTACACCAATGGTCAAGAGATGGCGCTGTAGCCTCCTGAATCGCGCCTTGGTTCCGTTGTTCCAAATTAATAAATACTTTTGATAGGCCTTCACAATGCAGTCGTTAGCACCCACTAAATAGAGATTCTATTTCTATTTTGTTGGTAGATTTTCTTAATGTGCGGTAAACACAAAAGTAACGCATGAAGTTGGTCGCTAAAGCGACCAACTTCATGCTGTTAAAATTTTGTGTTACAGTGATGCGCGCGCATCTTAAAATTTCACTCTCATCATTTTTTCATAACGCGCCTAAAGAAGTATAACTTCAAAATATGTTATAGACAGGTTTTGTAAGTATTAGGTAGGTTACTAACGCGTTTTTACGTACAATCAGATTAATTAAGCAAGAATATAACAAGTATATTCGCTTACTTACGTCAAAGTGATCTTCACAGCATCGAAGAAGTCTTTGGAGAATAATTGGCATTTCTCTTCGCAGCTTGAAACTACTTTTTCTCAGTTTTGGCTCAATTAAATTAATTCCATCAAAAAACAAAAACAATGTATTTGGAAACTTTGTTGAAGTAGATGGACACATTGGCACAAAACATGAGTCAATACGGCATTTTTTCGGAATATTAGTGGTATTGTTATGATCACCTGATGTTGATGGATAGTCCATTTTAATTTTTTACAAAAAAAAATCTTGAATGTCGAATAATTATGCAAAAGTATGAAAGCCAGCGCCAGCGACGAACAAGTACGACCAGTGACAGACAGGATTGACGTCATCGGAACCATTGGTCCGTTTTCGAGCCAAAATTTAAACTGTCAATTTAAAACCGCATTTTTTCCGATAAATTACAATGTTTTAATTTTTTAATATATCTGTGGTTTATTCTACATGGAATTATTTAAAATGAAAATAAAAATATTGCATCTTCCCTATTATTGAAATAAACTAAAAACCACTATGAGTGAGTTTACTAACACTTACTATGCTCAGACCAAATAAAAAGTATAGACGGAGTCTGCCGAACCAAAAAGTGAAGCCGATAAAACTACGCCTCGCCGTGTACATACACAGTTACACGCACACACATGCAACGAAACTACGCCTTGGCTTCTCAGTCGAGCTATCCCGACGCGCGGAGTGTGACGTAATAATAAATAACAATATTTATTAGAGAAAATGCCGAATTGTGTAGTGAAAACGTGTAAAAACCAATCTTCCAAGAATAAAAAACAGGATGGAATCACATTTCATACGTAAGTAAAGTTATAAACTGCTATTTTCAATTAATCAAAATCAAATTTGAGGTTGTCGCTTTGTAAACAAAACCTGAACGAAATGTTGCCATGATTATTCGTTACAGTTTTACCCTTTTGTTGGGTAGCGTGAAATATAACGTAACGTTATTTTATTATATACATTGTGTGGCATACTTTTATATTATTCGAATATTGTAATGCATGGATAAACAATTACACGAAACACCTTTTTTCTTTATGTTTTCGTATAAATTTTTTGGGATGTAATACACATTATTTAATATACGTTCTTTTTAAGATTTCCTAATCGAGATCAAGATCTAAAAGAGAAGTGGATTGCAGTCATTCGTAAGAGTAGAAATGCACCATTGTGGCAACCAGCTTCCCGCAGCGTGGTTTGTTCGACTCATTTTCAGAGCGACGATTTGTAAAATAATAATATATTTGTAATTTTATTTGTATTGTACTTTTTAATGGCCTTTTTGACCCAAAATTCGCGATGTTTGTGGATTTATTTTATTATGTTCTTGTATAGGAACTAGTGATTATATTTTGTGTATTCTATAGAAAATTTCATGTACATTTTAATAAAAGAAACTGTTTATCAACATTTGTATATGCTTTTCGTTTTATCGACATAAAGTTGAGATGACTGATTTGTAAGCGATTTCAAGTGCCTTGTTGCGAGTGCTTGAAACTATAAAATGAACAAACCTATTCCATCCGAGACTTGTAACTAAAGTAAAATAATCAATCCAACATAATTAAGCGTCAACACATAAATCAAGGCACTTGGATCTCGCATTTGTTTTTATCAACACTTGCAACACGACACCTTTTTTTCTGTTGCGTGTTATATTTTATAATTGTATTTGGTAAGTTATTATATACATTCATTCATATATAGTACATTCTATATGTACAAAAACCTGGATTTATAATTTACAAATTTTGAAAATACACATTTTACCTATTTAAACGATTTTTTATTATCTTTCCTGAGTTTACCATAATGTATTTAAAATAAATTATAGACATGACGCATTGTGTACACACTGCTTTATTGAAAATTTTATGGAGAATCCAAATATACGTTTGTGAAGGGTATTTTTACAAAATAACAGAGAAATCGGCAGAACAATGCAATCGTTCCCACCCAACGGGCGGGCGGTCCATAAAGAAGTCCGGCATTTGTAGGTGAGAACGGCGTATGACCTTTGGCTCACGAGAGGTTTAGAGAATAAGCTTACGATATTTTTTTCTAATATTTTATAACGTTATTAAAAAAGTAATAACGTTATTACATTTTTCTAATATTGGGGTGTTTTATATGACTATGGTAACACTGGCTAATGCACTACATACATAAAAAACCGGCTTCACTTTTTGGTTCGGCAGACTCCGTCTTTACTTTTTATTTGGTCTGAGTTACTATGGTATCTTTCTTGTTTTCATACAGTGGGTTTATTTTCATACATATAAATTTACTTACATTAGCTTTTTTGATTTTAGTTTTTTATAGTGATGACTGCCCAGTGTTGGAAGGTCCGATTTTTAAAAATCGGGAGGCGTTATAGAAAAAAAACAATAGATGTATGAAAGAGCTAATGTGTTTCTGTGGCTTCTGCAGCCCCTCAAAGCTCTTTTTTTAGAAAATAACCTTTATTTTACAATAATTAAGGTTACCTACATTATTAATGGCGGAAAATGCAACTCAACATGCAATTTCATCATCAACAGTCTATCTTAGTCCACTGCTGGACATAGGCCTCTCCAATTGCACGCCACTCAGATCGATCTTGGGCTACTCGCATCCACCTTGCGCAAATCGTCACTCAATCGTGTCTGAGGACGTCCTACACTACGATTGCCTAGACGCGGTTGCACTCCAGAACTCTTCTACCCCAACGGTTATCGGTTCTCGCCACTTGCTAATCCGGTGGGCTATGTCGATAACTCTGGTTCTCTGTCGGATTACCACATTTCTGGTGCGATCCTTCAGAGAAACGCCTAGCATAGCCCTTTCCATAGCGCGCTGAGCGTCTTTGAACCTGTGGACCAGCCATACCGTCGGTGTCAGTGACTTGGCAACGCTGCAGTGACTCCAGGACAGACTAGACTTCAATCGAATCAAAGGCCTTCTCATAGTCCACAAATGCTAGGCACAGGAGCTGATTGTACTCTTCAGTCTTCTGTATAATCTGCCGCACTGGGTGGATGTGGTCTATGGTGCCGTATCCGCTCCGAAACCCAGCCTGTTCCGGTGGTTCGAAGTCATCAAGTCTTCGCGCAAGACGGTGCGCGATCGGTCTTGAGAACAGCTTATAGACGTGGCTTAGAAGGGATAGGGGTCGATAGTTCATAAGTAGGGTCTTGTCCCCCTTTTTAAAGAACAATACGCCCATGCAATGCAATGCAAACATGCAATTTAAAAAAGAAAATCGTATTCTAAGAAAAACAGGAGATTCATGTAGAAAAACAGTAGAACAGGAGAAATTTCAGAAAAACAGATCTCCTGAAAAATCGGTAGACCTGACAACACTGTGACTCCCTATAGTTATAATCTCCTTGAGTCGGGCACAAGGAACTTATATACTAACTGGAATGCTTACGAAACAATATGGGAATTCAAAAATGTACTCCAACTAGTTATACTGTATATAATTGCAGTTGCACGTGTGGTAAGCTTGGTGGAGCTTGCTACGCCTTCAACAGATTGTCAATCATCATGTCAAGGGAAGTGGTTCGGTCGTGTTATTTCGCAACAGTCCATTCCTTGTTACAGTATGGCGCAGAGTTATGGAGGCGGACTGCTGACTGGAGGCGAGCTTTCAGATTGCAGAAACGGGCCATACGTGCAATTGTTAAAATAAGGTCGGATGAATCAGCACGACCTTATTTGAAAGAACTCGGAGTTTTAACTCTCCCATCCATAGTCTTTCAAATTTACTGTTTTACAGTAAAAACAGTGACAAACATTCACACAACACTCGAAATGCGAATAAGCTGACCAGTGAGCAGAGAACTTTGATCAAATCGAGCAGGCTAACTCATATCATGGGTTCGACGGTTTATAACTTGTTACCATAGTTGGTCACTAACGCAGTCTCTTAATATTTTTAAACATAAATTAAAGTTATGGCTCATTGAAAGAACTTTTTATAATGTCGATGAGTTTTTGAATGATAAATCCTTGCATTAATTAGACTGATTAATATATTTTTCTATAATATTTAATGACTATTTTTTTAATCATTATTTTTTTATGAATTTGTATGTAACATTTAACTTTATTGAGTTTAAATATTGTATTTTAATATAATTTGAAATTGACATAGGAATTGAATGTTGACATTTTTGAATTCATTGAAAGTATAGTTAATGCTCTATGTATTTCTATTATAAAATTTATGATTGACGTGTAATTTATTACGAAATAAATGATTATGATTAATTATACATAGTCTATTTTTGTTTCTACCTTTATAAGGGGGAAAATACTCCTAGCGCTACACGACAAAAGTGGAATCTGCCCCTCTCTTGCAACTGTTTGGGATGAGGGCTACCGTTTTCTGTCTCACCAGATGGCGCCACTGTTGAGTGAGGTCCTAAATTGTAACTTTTAAAGTTTATTAATACGCACATGAAATCAAAGGTTACATTTAGATCGTATTTTAACACAAAAGAACCATATCCTAAACATAATAGGCCATGCCACAGTGACGCCCAGTTCCGTTTTATTCGGAAAAAATGGGAACATAATCATTTTATTAAGCTCATATTTTTAATAACTGACATTCATTGCCACATAACTCATATTTGCCATAATTAAGCCGAATTGTTACCAATTATTCACAACATTATTTTAATAAGAAATAAACCCGCGTAGTCAACCAACAAGCAATAACATTTGACATTTCGGAGACCTACACTAGCCCCTCTAGCGGCGGATTCATAAGCGATAGCCCTCATTCAGCTATGCTCTTGAAACGATTTTGAGGGTCGCGTAAGCATTCCAGTTAGTATACAAGTTCCTTGGTCGGGCTCGCTCTCTCGCCGCTAAAGAGCGAGATGTAAACTGCTTTATGAATGAGATTACTTCGGTGCTCTCTATTGGCTGACAAGGGAAGTTCGTAAAATGCAATAATGTTGGCATATAATCTTTCTTATATATTAAAGGTTATTAGTTTTTATGCAATAATACACATATAATATGGGATTCTTTATTTAAATTCTATCTCCTATTTGTTGTATGTACATTTAGTACTTAAATAAAACAAACTATTCTCCATCGTAATGACGTCACTGTCAAGATTGAAAAATAACGGCGCAACTGACATTAATGGCAGAACTACATTTATCTGATGTGCTGTGTTCTAATTCTAACGCATTGAATGGGTAGAGTCTGTGCGGAAAGAGAATGGGATTAGATTGGAGGGTGCTGTAGTGCTTTTCTACCGTATTTGTAAGGTTTTACCCCTTTTAGACATGATTAAATACAAAAAACCGCAAGAAATCACAACATGAAACAAATCCGTATCAATACAAAACTTTGACGTTTTACAGATTGCTGAGTTTGATTGCCAAATAAAAATCTTAATGTTAGTTCCGTTTTTCGCCACGCCCATTCTCTTTCCGCACAGACTCTATCAGTTACATACATTTCGTTAAAACTACACTTGTGCGTCTCGTTTTCTGTTGTGATGGCTTCTACTGTGTCGCATCAGAAGAGCCTCTGATTGTATCAGAGAAGAGGGGTAGCGGCCGTTTGACGACACATCTAGGGTTACCCGTTTAGGAATTAGAAAATTCCTGACAAAGCCTACAATTTCGATAAAAGTTCGTACTTCAAAGATTTTATATTGTGTTTTATATAAATGAAAAGTTAAAAAAGATAAAGATCAAAAATTATTTTATATCATTTAAAATCTAAATTATACTCAAAACTTAAAAACTAACATCATAAAAGAAATAAATTATCATTTTCAGTTTTACGGGATTTAGCAATGAAGAATTTTTCATTTTTTTTAAATATATCAATTGTAAAAATTAAAGTTATATGAAACAAAAATTTTAAAGAATCATTAAAATATCTGTACAAATGAAAAAGTAATGGGACTTTAAAGTAGCGCCTGTAACAATAATTTCGTTTCATGCGGCAGGCCAGCGTGTGACCTCACTTCACCTAGTCGGCGCAGCGGGTATACACTTGAAAATGTATAAATTTATTGGCGTGCTGTTTTTTGCGCCGCCCGTGTCGTGTTTTGTTTATTATAATATAATAATGGGTGAGGCTAATAAACTTTTTTTTGTGTACCAAGTGACTCGACTACGAGAAAGAAATGGTGCAAACTAATGAAACGTGACTTAATTGGACTGAAAAGCACAAAATATGTGTGTGATGACGATATAGCAATCAACAACTTAACAAAAATTGATTATAAAACGTTTGATATTATAACCATCGTTATTTTTAGTTAAACAAATAAAAATATTATTGCATATTTAATAATGTTCCGTTGAATACGTAGACACAGCCTCACATCTAGTGGAACGTAACCAATTTATAAAATTAAACCGCATTACTATATTAGATAAGTAGTACTTACTTAAAAAGTTTAACTCCTTCAGCACTAACGGATTTGAAGAAAAAAAAATCCATCACTGCGTATATATCAATTTTAGATAAATTATCAGTTTGTCCTTTTACGCAATCATTTTCCATTATGTTAAAATAGAAATTACACTACTTATAAATAATCAACAAACAGCTGTACGTAAAATCGGTATCTACAAGCAACGCAAGCGATCTCAACTATAGGTGAAATGACGTCAGAGGCCCAAATCGTAAGTGTTTCTCAATCATTTATTGACGGATTTCAAAAAAAAAGGAGACCCGGCACTTTTCATAGAAAAAATGCTAAACTTGTATACAGTTTAATTTGGTCTCAAAATAAAGCCAAAATTATTTGCTACATAAAACTACTTTCGCCTTATTTTTAGTGAATCGTGGAAAGAAGTTATATAATAATTAATATTTTTTGATATGGAAACCCTAAATCTTCAAGGAACAGAATTTTACTTCAAAATATTGACTACCATGATTCCTTTACTTTTTCTAAATAAAAAACCAAATGTCAATTTGACAATCCTAAAATATAAACAAAAAATCATTCGCATCCGCTCCCGCGTACTGTGATTGTGAAAGTTCTCTGTTGTGATTGCCTTTTTATCCGTTATTTCTCTTGACGACCCGGCTACATATAGAGGTTATATTGACAAACCTACGTATTTGACATTGACAGCTAGCTGCTGATGACGAATATTGCCAGACTACGTTACCCAATTATGAAACACAGATAAAAAAAATAAAAAAGTATACAGCTTTCACTGGTATATTAGTTTCGATCTATATATCAATTCTACTAAGTTAAATATAGCATTATCAACATCATGAAACTTCTCCATTGGTAAATTAAAGATATTTACCAAATATATTCTTAGAATTAAAAATTAAAGTTTAACGTTTTGAGTCAGGTAACGCAAAATATAACAGAAGTAATGTTCTAAAAACGCTACGTGAGAAGGTTTCAGATACATGTGTAATCAAAAGGTTTCAGATACATGTGAATACCCATCACAACACGTAAGATAAATATAGTTCTGCCTTAATGCTTTTTTCCCTTCGGACATTTTCGAAAAATAATTTTAATTCTGGTTTGGCGCTGGCGCCAGAAGCACAGCGGTGTCACGGCGACACGAGACGCCCTACAAATATGTCTCTAACCATAGTAAATGTATGGAACCGATGTGCTTCTATTCTAGCGCATCACGCCACAACACGTTAATATGTTTCTGACTTTACAGTGTACTCTCAGTACCTATTTTTCGGAAGGATTATGCTGAAATATGGACATATTTTTATTTTAGGCATTTAAATATCAACTGCTCCAATTACTAATTTAAAGTTTTACTTTATTTCAAAAAGAATCTGTGGGTGGCATAGCGGTTGGTGTATCCGCCCGGAGAGCGGATGGCGCATTCGAATCATGGAGGTCAGAGAGATGTAGAAAGATCGCTGTAGAAAATAGTGTCCCAGAAATATGGATAAAATAAGTGAGGCGCTGCGATCGCTAAGTTGTCTCAATAAAAGCGGGCTGTTGTGCGATAATTTGAAATGACCAATGCCGCGAAGAAAATTTGTACATTATTCAACGAACTTCATCTAGTTTTACCTAAAACAGCTAACTTCACAGATACTTTGTACAAGCTAGTGAACGGCATCTTTGACACACCTGACCTTTTATCTAAGATCAACTTTCGCATACCGTCGCGACTTCCTAGGCTTACAACTTATGCACCCTTTATGGAGAGACTCTCTCGTTCGCGCCATGGTCGCTACTCACCGCTGAATTGGTTGATGATAGCTTACAATGGCTTGCACAGAAGCATTGCCCAAAATCATTCTAGTAGAATCAAATGTGGATTACCACAGCATGCTCATGAGAATGATTCACAATTAATTGATGTCGATATTTTCTTTAATTCCTTAAATATTTCTAAAATAATGTAAAAAAAATACTAGATTTGACGTAGGTATTTTCTGGTGACTGTAAATGTTTATTACTTTACAATATTTTGTGACACTTTATCGAATAATGATATAATTTTAATGAAATGTTTTTAATTTTAGTATTTTTTTTTTTTATATAATTTTACTACTAATTATTTCACATCATTAGAAGATTTTTAAATATGTAGTGTGATTTTGTTATGCGATATTTTTGCTTATCAGTGCTATTGTGTAACATCTATAATTAAGATTGCACTTAGTTCGCTTCCACATTGTTTGTAAGTTACTTTATAATGAGTTGGTGTTAATCTTGTTGATGTTAATAAATAAATAAATAAATACTACTTACCGACGGCAGCGCGGCTGGTGGCTGAAAAATGAACTATAAATTCTACAAATTTTAAGGGCAGGCGGGCTAGTGCTTTAGTACTTAGCGATCGTTCTCCGTCTCTCTAACCTCCATGATTCGAATCCTACGTGGCAGCTTGACCGAGTGAAATTTTTTTGTAGTAATTTTTTTCTTTAAAGTGCTATGTTCTTTTTAATGGCGTATTAGCACTAAAGAATTTAAGTGAGACACTATCCAAAAACGGGTGTAATATCCTATCACAATTATATTGCGGGGGCTCCCCACCGTGTTGTTGCGCAACATGCTTCTGCCTCTGAATAAAATTCGTAAATCTCTCCGAACAAAAAGTACACTTGACCGGTTTCACTAAATTGTGTCCCGTGGCAATATGGCTTTTAAGTTCCTGCAGAGACTTGCACCGCTTTTGGCAAATCTTGCAAGGAAAACTGGTCTTTACGTGCACAATCTTGAAGTGCACTTTCAGTCGAAACAGACTCGGGAAACCCATTCCACAGTCTTTACATATGTAATTCTTAAAGTGTTCGTTCATATGGCTCTCAATAGCACCGAAGCTAGCAAAGCTGAAGTCGCACATTGGACATAGGAAACCGTCATTCGGTGTCAAATTGAAAGGTATGACTCTGTCGTTGAATTCTAAATGCATTTTCTTCTGGTGTTCTTTGCTCAAATGGCATTTCAATTCGTTCAAGTTCGGAATGCTCGCGTCACATATTGTACAGCATAAGTTGCTGATATCAACGTAGACGATTAACTTATCGACTCCGAATCTGCGTAAGACATTTCTGCTTTCACTCTTATTGTGTTCTGTGGTGTGCTCCTTCAATTTTTCCCAGTTGTCAAATATTCGACTGCAGTAGAAACACCTGAATCCTTTCCTTCTTCTGAATGGTGTAATGTTAGAGTATTGCAGGAGTGTCGAAATGTTGATTATTTGAGCCATTTTCTCCGTGACGATTAGCTTTTTGTAGAACAGTTTCGCTTTGATTGCATTCTTTTCTGGGGGTTTGACCCCAACTGTGGGTGTCGATGTTGCTGATGCTACTGAAATAAATGTTATAATTAATTCAGTCACCGATAGTCATACTATTGATAGTTCTATAGTACTAATGGGGAAGAAAACCCAAAGCTCATTACCCATAACAGTGAATTTGTCGCCTACCATTGTTATCTTCTGCTTCTTCTTCTTCCACTTCTTCATTATCATCTTTGTCTTCCATTTCTTCTACTTTCACATTTGGTCCTGATAAAGGTGAAATTATCAAGTGAGGATTTTGTCTAGTGAAACTGGGATTGTTAATGACTATTTCAATCTGTCGCTTCCCATTGTCATTTTCTACTTCTTCTTCTTCTTCCATTTGTTCTTCTTTCACATTTGGTCCTGATAAAGGTGAAATTATCAAATGAGAATTTTGTCTAGTTAAACTGGGCTAATTAAGGACTATTCATCATGGAGCAAACACATAATTATTATTACTATCTCCCATAAACTGACTTTACAGATAACCATTTTTTTTACTTTTGACATTAATGGTAAAATATTTGTATGATAAATAGAAATGCATTTGAAACTGAATAATGACTGTTCATTTATATTTTTACAAAAATGTTCTTCTCTATCTATCATTAATGTTTTTCAATCTATTATCCTGGTCTCAAAGTAACCCAAAACACTTGCGATTTCGTTGTGATAGAGTTTACAATACATATAAAGTTATTTCTGGGCTAGGATGTGTAAAGGATGTTACTGATATAAATGTTACAATGAATAAAGTCACCAATAGTCATACTATCGTTAGTCCTATAATACTCATGGGGAAAACCTAAAGCTCATTACCCATAACAATGAATATGTTGCTTACTATTGTTATCTTCTAATTCTTCTTCTTCCACTTCTACCATTTCTTCCCCTTCTTCTATTTTTTCTTCTTTCACATTTGGTCCTGATAAGGGTGAAATAAACAAGTGAGGATTTTCTCTAGTGAAATTTGGATCATTAAAGACTAGATTATGGAGCAAAAAAACATAACGAAGCTGTATTCAATGTAGCACAGCTACTAATAATGAAATATGCATGAAATTCAATATTATACTTGCTTATGAATATATTTTTATCTTTATATATAAAACTCAAAGGTGACTGACTGACATAGTGATCTATCAATGCACAGACCTAACCACTGGACTGATCGGGCTGAAATTTGGCATGCAGGTAGATGTTATGACGTAGGCATCCGCTAAGAAAGGATTTTGATCAATTCTACCCCAAAGCGAAGCGAGGGCGGGCCACTAGTTATTATACAATTTTAATCTTAATTTTGCAATACGCTTATAGGTTCATGTACTATTACTAAAAATATATGTGACATCTTTTAATTTTTGTACATGATAGCAAATAAATAAATAAATACCAAACAAAAAAAAATCTGTACCTGATTGATTCCAGTCTGGGGTCTGAACCATCCAACTATTATCTACTTCAATTTCTTCTTTCACATTTGGTTCTTGTAAAGACGAAATTATCAACCTAGACTTTTGTTTAGTAACTTTGGGATCATTATCCATCGTTGTGTTCGATGTTACTTGACACTGCAATAAATGCGACAATAGGTTAGTTCGCCAAAGCTGCAAGTGGCATGTTGGAATAATGAATAAATATAATATATTGGCTCGATGGCGCAGGTGGTTAGCGCGTTCAGCTCCGATCGTTGTAGTTAAGCAACTTTCGCAGTGGTCGGTCATTGGATGGGTGACCAAAAAATTCTATCTCGAGTTCCTCCGTGCTTCGGACGAAGTTAATAAACATTAACTCCCGTTGCGTGCACTGTGTCAGTAATAAGAAGAAGTAAATTTACTAAAATACACCAGTACAGAGATCCCTGAATGGAAACTGAAAAGGTAAGTGTAATGTTATGAATACTATATAAACTCATTATTTACAACTAAACTAAGCATATGAAAGTTCAATAGTATGTTTACCTATCCAAATTACTACATAGATATATGGTAAAAACAATAATATAAATATTTAAGAGGGGCTCCCATACAACAAACATGCTTTTATGCCGTTTCTTAATCTATATTAATAACGGCAAGAGGTAGGCGCTAGTTGTATATTCAATTTGATAATAAATATTAAGGGGGGCTCCCAAAAGATATGACATTTTCCTCAATACAATAATATAGTGGTGTCGATGCTGGCATGATTCTCTAATCCTAAACTTAAATTTGTACAGTGTATCCTTGTCATTTTCTATATGCAATGAAAAAGAAAGACTGATGTTAAAAGAAATTATAAGTTTAGAGAATCATGTCAGAATCAACACCAATGTCTAATAATGGTACAGAACCTTTCGTGGGCGAGTTTCTTTTACACATGTTCGTTTCGTCCTATTCCTTCTTTTCGGTGTCCCAGTAGATTTGGTCTTCACTTCCACCTTGATATTAACCTGCACAGCTTTATTTTTATGATCTGGCATAGCTTTAAGTTCTGAACCTTTGTCTTCATTTGCAGGAAATAAACGGGTATATTTGCACAACTCCTTAGATGTTTTACATTCTTCAAATTCTACAGGTACCACCAATAGGTTATCATGTCCAATGTTTGGGCATAAAATTTGTTGGATAGATTCTTTATCCTGCCTTTTCTTGTAACCGGACCTGACTATAGTAATTGTCGAAAGTTTTTGACATTCAAATTTATGTGGTAAAACTCCCTTTTTTAACTGTAACTTTCCTCCAACAAGCTTAAACTTAAAGTAATTCTCCATGTCTGTTTCCAACTGTAAACAAGTGCAGTATAAATAATAATAAACATGATTTTAGTAGTTTTGCCACCAAAAAATTTAATTGAATTATTAAGTTACATTTAGGTAGTTTTATTTTGATGGGTAATTAAATTTCTATAAACAATAAGCTAAGCAGCGTAAGTTACAAAATTAAGCTGCCTAAAATAAGGATACTGCATGTGAATGATCAATATTTTACATTCATTAACATAGATACCTGAGTATGACTCTGTGCTAGTGTTTGAAACATTAGATCTTAGGTAATTTTATTTAGTTTTTATTTATATATACAGGTTCATCATAGTTTGATTACTTATATTAATTCAACAATGTAAAATAAAACTAACAATTTATATTATTTAAATTAGTCTGTCTATTACATTCTTTTATGAAGAACAAGTACTTAAAGGAGAGCTTAGTAGCAAAGTATAAAATTATCAATGGTAAGTATTTTCACAGTTTAGTCAAATAAGATCTTTCTCAGCATAGGTTCATACATCACTTATGTGATAAAGAACTTTAAAAGTACGTAATAGTTACATCGAAGTGATCTTCACAGCAGTGCCTGCTGGTTTTGGATGACAGTTTAGTATTTTCCCTCTTCATCGCGACACACCATTTTTTGCGGATTTTGGAATCACGCGGCACTTGAAAAAATAGTTTCTCGGGTGTTTTTATCGAAGTATTTGTACATCTTGGCACAATACAATACTTGTACGTCATTATTATAAATAAACATCTGTTTGTTTTGAAATGCACAACTTTTTATCTTTTTTTTTTTATTTATTCTGGCTTTGAAGACTCAGTCTTTAAGCCGAAATAATTTATACTTTGATGTTGATTCTGGCATGATTCTCTAAAGCTAAACTTAAATTTGACAACAGTGCATCCTTGTCTATACAGAGTGAAAAGGTGAGACTAACCTTAAATTTAGTTTTAAGTTTAGAGAATCACCCCAGAATTTGGCCCAGAAGCATGCCATATAAAGGCATGCTTTCAAGTTGACTGACAAATAATAATATCTGCATCCCAAAAGCAGAGCAGGAAAAGATTAAGTGCTAGATATCAGCTTTCTGCTGTTGACAATGTGACCACCGACTATAAGTTTTTATTTTTAGCCTGTAGAGGTGACTGGGCCCTAAACAATGTCCAAACTGTAACCTGTTGATCGTAGTAATGAATTTTCTTGAGTCACCAATTCTTAAATTGTATCAAGGTTTTACTGGCATAGTTTTTGGAATGCTAGCATACCAACTTCCTTTGGTCTTATTAACGGTATCCCAATAAGTTGACCATATATGCTTCTAATATTCTCTGTTAAACCTTGATAATAGTCAAAGAATAGAACTTTGAATTGTTCGGTGTGATCCTCATCATATCCAGTGGTGAGAGCTTTATCAATAATCTCATTCCCTGCAAAACCTCTGTGGGAGGGTACCCAAGTGAATTCCACCTTCTTTCCTCCATTACTTATTTCATATAATAGGTTCCTAATCAGGTGCGGATTTACGTAGGGGCTTGGGGGGGCTAGAGCCCCGGTCATCCCATGAAATACCCAAAAGAAGTTTGACCTGTACATGTGGAAGAAGAAGGTAGGGATCCCCTTCTACATTCTAAAATGCGTACAAGTTCGAATGCATATTATGCATAAAAGCGGAATTTAGAATCATTGGGTATCAGATGATTTTCATATCCTTAAATGGGCCCCGCATCAATTTCAGCCCCGGACCCCATTTTGAAATCCGCTCCTGTCGTTATTACTATACACTACATAGTTTATAGTATTAAGTTCCATATCACACTAATATTATAAAGGCGAAAGTTTGTGAGTGTGTATGTTTGTTACTTCTTCACGTCTAAACGGCTGGAGCGATTTTAGTAAAATTTGGTATGGAGTTAGCTGGCACCCTGGATTAACATATAGGCTACGTTTTACTGCGGGAAAATATCCCTAACAAACCGCGGGTAACACCGCGGGGCACAGCTAGTATATTATATACTGTCGGCGTGTTATCGTCAGACCCGCCTTAAGAGCAGCAGTGATAGCAGCCCTGCGGCAGGTTAGGTGGTACCTCAGGTAGGGGCAGGCAGTGATCACGTTCTGCGATGACGTTGTCGCGCAAAAGGAGGCGCAGGAGAGAGCCCGCGAGGCATAAGACCTATATGACTCTCCGCTACAGGAGGCTGAGAACTAGCCGGCGGCGATTGGTCCGCCAATTCTTGCTATAGCCTTCAGGGGTAGCGGGGTCTTAGACCCTTATGGGTACGGAAGAAAGCGCCTCTCTACGTGGAAGACCACCGGTCAACGCGGATATTTCGTAGGCGAGATGACTGAGGATCCTATTAAATACCATACCAGCTACCACTCATAACTCTCTGCCCGCCATTCCCTTTTATAGCCTTCAGGGGTAGCGGGGTCTTAGCCCCTTATGGGCAAGGAAGAGAGCGCCTCAATACGTGGAAGACCACCGGTCAACGCGGATATTTCCCCTTAGTACCCCCCCTATCTACAGCCCTAGTTTGTGGTAGGCGAGATGACCGAGGATCCTATTAAATACCATACCTGCTCCCACTCGTAACTCTCTGCCCGCTATTCCCTTTTATAGCCTACAGGGGTAGCGGGGTCTTAGCCCCTTATGGGCAAGGAAGAAAGCGCCTCTCTACGTGGAAGACCACCGGTCAACGCGATATTTCCCCTTAGTACCCCCCCTATCTACAGCCCTTTTTTTTTTGTGACGAGGGGAAATGCAGTTACGCACCATACCGTGACGCTGACTAGGCGCACGGCGTGTGTGGGACTCGCCGGCACGGGAAACAGTGCCGACCCTACTCAAGCAGGACCAGTGCGGAAGGCCACACTGATCCTACTCCACTGAAACCCCCCGGTACCCTCCTACGCCCATATGGGGGCGGTCTCGGGGCCGACGCACCTGCGTGCGCCACATCTCCGAGCAGTTTGTAGTAGGCGAGATGACTGAGGATCCTATTAAATACCATACCAGTTACCACGCTTAACTAAGTAAAATAAAAAAATCAGATGTATATAAGAGATGTTGTTTTATTTAATTCCAAACATAGCCTTTGAAGTTCGATATTGATTGCAGAATTTGCTACAATTTGAGGGGATGGTTGTGTCGCCAGAAGGGGGCAGGGGAAGATGATGGGGGATGACCCCATAATCGCCTGACGACGCCCTTGAATCGCACTATAATTAACTAATTAGTAAACCAGCTAATGCTGTTGTATGTTACCATAGTACCTACTCTGCTTATTTTAATTATTCTTACATTACAGGCAGTCCTCGACTTACGTCGTTTTGATTTATGTCGAACAATGTTTTGACACTATTCCTCAAGCATACGTCAATTGTTTCGATTTCCGGCATAGGAGAATTCACTTGTCGCGAGGTCCATGTCCTTGGGTCGGCGTCCGTGGCGATGTCTCGACTTACGTCGTTTCGATTTACGTCGCGTATTTCGAGAATCTAACATGCCGTAAGTACGAGGACTGACTGTATAACAATTTATAGTATGTATTTACACAAATGCATTAATCAATAACTTTCCTTTTAAAATAGGAATCTTATTTTATTTCATTAAAATCCAAGATTACAATCCATATCTTAACATTCGGTGTAAGCAAAAAGAGATGCATATTAGATAAATTGTTGATCATTGATTGTCCACACTGCCGGCAAGAACTTTCTCCACTATTTTGTCGCTAAGCGACAAGAGCTATAATAGATAATACTCGCTCAAACTTGCTCAAGGTTGTCTTCGGAGCGAGTGGCGCGAATAATCGCCCGTCGTACTCGCACACTCGCTTATAGTTCAGCGATAAAACTATTAGAACTCCACACTTGAATCCCGCTGCTCACCAACTCGTTTCTAGTTCCTAGCTCTACTCGCTTTTCGTTCATCGTCGGCGTGGAGGCCAAGTGCCTAAATTCCCACTGGTCTTCAAAACCCAGCTATTTTCCAGCATTCCTAGTTGGTCGTATCGAATGGAAACCTCATTGCAAATTATACTCATGGTGGTGCGTTTTCAAATGGCCTTTCAAACTGCATTTTTGTACGAACGCTTGCCCGCAGACGGCGCAAGCGAAGCGCCTATCGTTATTATGGATTCTCATGTGCTCCTTCAAAGTCTTCTTTCTAGCATACGACTTTTTGCATACAGCGCATTCGAATATCCGCTCGCCGTTATGTTTGATCATGTGAACACGCAATTCATTGTTGGTGAAGCATTTGTACGAGCACAGGTGGCATTGGTAGTCCCTCTCCTCCAAATGGTCGCGCTTCATATGCCTCGACAAAGTGTATCTTCTATCGAAAGATTTGTCGCACACGTTGCATTTATATTGCAATGGCGCCACACCGTGTTGTTGCACCATGTGTTTCTGCCTTCTGAAATACTCCGAGAACCTCTCCGGACATATGGTGCACTTGAACCGTTTCACCATATTGTGCACTGTGTTCACGTGGTTCTTGTGCTTCTGCTGTGTCGTGAACACCTTCTTGCAAATCTCGCAAGGGAAACTGCCACCTACATGCATGCTCTTAACGTGCACTTTCAATCGGTAGCGAGTCACGAATCCAGTACCGCAATCTTTGCAAACATAATTCCTGAAGTGGACGTTCATATGGCGTTCTATGGAGCCGAAAGTCTCGAAATTGAAGCCGCACATTTGGCACTCGTAAACGTTGTTCGGCGTCAGTTTGAAAGGTATCACCCGGTCGTTGTAATCTAAATACATGTTCTTCTTATGTTCTCTGCTTAGATGGGTTTTCAGTTCGTTCAAGTTAGAAATGCTCGTGTTACATATCGTGCAGCACAAGTTGGTGATGTCAGCGTATACGACCAGACATTCGGCGCCGTAATTGCGTAAAACCTTTTTGATTTCAGTCTTTTTATGTTCGGACGTGTGCTCTTTCAGTTTATCCAAGTTGTCGAATAGGTGTCTGCAGTAAAAACACGGGAAGCCACTCCGGCTTCTGCTTCTGAACGGTGTGATGTTGGAGTGTTCTAGGAGGGTCGACGCGTTGATTATGTGAGCCATTTTCTCCGTGACAAACACTTTTTTGTAGTCCAATTTAGTTTTGATTGCGTTTTCCTCGAGAAGTTTCCCTATTGTACTCGGCAAGACAATGATACCTGCGCAAACATAATGATTAATGAAGAATATTAAACTTCCTTATACGCCCGTAGCAACTAAAGGAGTTGGTTGGACAAATTCATAAATGTCTGCCTGAAATTTCAGTCAATGTTATCAAGTATACAATTTTGAGGAGCTCGATGGCGCGGGTGGTTAGCGCGTTCGGCTGCGATCGTTGAAATTAAGCAACTTTCGCAGTGGTCGGTCATTGGGTGACCAAAAATTTACTATCTCGAGCTCCCCCGTCCTTCGAAAGGCACGTTAAGCCGTTGGCCCCGGCTGCATCTGCATTAGCACCCGCCAATCCGCACTGGGCCCGCTCCAGTGGGGACATTAATATGCTAATGATGATGATACAATTTTACTCTATCTAATTTGAAATCTAGAAATCTTAATTCTAACATCCCACTCGATGTGTTTATAGGGATGGAATATTTGTTCTCTTTCTATCAGGTATATTATCAAAAAGTATTGGACACGCATTATTGAAGTGAATCTCTTTTTCATACTGGGTGCAAATGGAAAAATCCTATGGAAAAGATGAGGAATTGCGTCACGAGCTTCACGCGGCTATATTTTTAAGCGTGTGTATGGGATGCGTGCGCAGCTCTTCCCGAAGAGCATGAAAGGTGGAGGGCAACTCGGCGATGGCTACTACATGGCAATTAATGTATATGTTACGCTCAAAGATCGAAAACGCTCAGTGAGCGGAAAATAGCTCACAACGCGTTGTGGTCACAGTAAAACATCCACATGGCGAAATTCGTATTATGGCTCTAATGAAAACGCGCACGACGCGTTGTGGCAATCACAGAAAGACTATATAGCGAAATTCGTGTCATGGCTGACATGCTATTCGATCTCAACGCGTTTTCAATAACACGAATTTCGCAATGTGGATGTTTTACAGTGACCACAACGCGTTGTGAGCTATTTTTCCGCTCACTGAGCGTTTTCGATCTTTGAGCGTAACATATATAATCATCTGCCTAATACCTTAAAGCCCCTCCCGGGTAAAAAGTTTGAGCCTGCACTACAGAATTTTTTACTATGTAAGACAATTTATACAATTACTGGATATTTTAGTGAAAAGTTTTAAATTTTGATATTTGCATTATATTTTGGACGTTTTTTTTATTGAATTACTTTTTACAATATGTTATACAGGATTGAAAATTTGTTATATTGGAACGGAAATTATGACTGTAGATCTACATATTTAGTTTAGGATTATTGCAATACCCTAACTGGGTTCTTGTTTGGAATGATATATATATATATTGTAACAGTAAGAATTCAATAAATGAATATGAAGGCTAAAACGCTACGCCCGTCACATGGGCCAATATATATATATAAATATCTTATATATAAAATTCTCGTGTCACAATGTTAGTTACCATACTCCACCGAAACGACCTGACTGATTTTTATAAAATTATATATGCATATTCCGTGGGTCTGAGAATCAGCTACTATCTATTTTTCACATCCTTAAGTGGTTAGGAGGTAGAATTATCCCAGGAAAATAGAACACTACGTTACACACCCCTAAAAATTTTTTGGACAATATTTATTTTTTTATAATGTGGTATAAAAATACAAGTAAAAATACAGGTATATAGGGTAAAATACAGGGGCAGGTGGTAAAAGAGAAAATTTAAGGATGTGTACCTGCCCCTATTTTTATGGCGGAGTTTGCTGGGTCAGCTAGTATATATATATTATATGAGTGATGCGTGCGCTACTCCATTATGCCCTAATGTTGAATGAAGAATAAATGTTTCTATATATTTCGCTTCTATATATAATCGCTTCAGATGTGTGGTCCGAGCAAACAAATTGTTTTGTTTCTTTTTCTATTTGATATGTCCCATGACGTCACATCTTGGTGTAATGTTTACTTAGAAGTGACGTCACGAGCTTTAGCGCTTTATTATTGTAATTTTTGGTCGATTGACAATAAAATATATATGAGGACACATATTATTCTTTATATCTTGATTACCGAACTGACAAACGAATACGTATTCCCATTATTATCCTGACATCACCCCTATCATAAGAAACTAAGGCTTCCCATAGCTTTGAGTTTGTTCGTTACAAAAATTTTAAGTGTAGTTAAAAAATTACCTACCTTTAAGAATATTAAGGTGTTTCGCGTATTCTGCGCAAGTTTTGTGAAGCGTCGCTCTTGTGGGCAGCCGCACTGGTGGAAATCTGGCAAGGAGTTCAGCCTCACCTGCCACCAAGTCTTCGTTTCCATCAGACCTGAGGGGTGCTGTCCCAAAATAGACAAAATAACTATAAAATAATACATATGTTATGTGAATCTGGAAGCATCGGGATCGAGATGTCATTTGCGGAGAACATTCAACAAAAATGGTGGTAGAGAATCAGCTTTTGAAGTGTTCAAATACTATATTTGACGGGCCTGAGCTGCGTAAAAGGGTAAAGGGCACTTTTAAAGTTAAATACAGGAAATATTTATTGGATGTGCAAAAGTTGTAATGAGGGTTGCTAGAACACCATGGTTGATTTTGAGCACCACTTGATATGCTGTAAATTTTAATTTTCTTTGGCTTCCATTTTGTTTCACAATATTTATCCAATTAATTTCAATAATGTGACATTTCTATTTAATATCTTTTATTCTGAAAATTTTTAATTATCATATTTAAGACCTTAAATGTGATTTAATTTAAATTATTATTGCTTTTAACCTATTTAGACCAGGGTCGATAATTTTTGAGACCAAAAAAAATTATAGTAGGATGAAACCCATTGGAAAAGGTAGAGAATATAACAAAAATGAAAGGGAAAATAAATTAAGGGCGATCTGAGGTCTGGAACAAAAATACTAATCTTTTCCTAATAGGACCAACAAATTAAAATAAAAGACAACTTTTAATATACAGGCCATCCCACGGGTTTATCACGTGGAGGGAAGTATATTTAATATAGGTAGGATATTTCACTGAAAGATCACTTTATCACCACTTAACATCAGGCGGGGTAGAGTCATTTGCCTACCTCGCCTCGCTATAAAAAAAATAAAAAAAGGTGCTGGCTTTAACAGGTATGTGGTCAAGTGTAGGGTGACCAAGACCATACTCAATACTCAATGTTTTATTGCTTTCCACAAGTTATACAAGATGTTACAAAATAATATGCACAATCATGGTCCCCGTCGGGCACAGCAATCAATTAATTACAGAGGGAGAGTGACACCTTTGATTACATAAAAACGCTAATAAGTACCCTAGCTGACCATTACAATTTAGAATTTATATAATATCTATCTATAATAAATTAAAATAGGTATTAAATTTTATTTCATTCTATAAAATCACGAATAATAATAATAATAATAATGTGTATACTAATTCATTAATTGTAAAAAAGATAATACGAACAAATTATATAAAATATACGCAAATAAAATTTATTTAAAGTTATATAAAAACAAAACACAAAACACAATTATTTACACAATTGAGAATATAGTATTCTCAACAATGTAAGTAACTAAATCATTTGAATATTAATTTACATTATAATCACATTTTAACATTTCAAATTCATTAACTAATAATAACATTTATTAAAAGCAAAATAAAATCAACAAATTATATATTTTCAATAGTATAAATAACTTCAAGCCATTTTATCATTTAAATATTCATTAACACTGTAATAACATTTATTAATCAAAAGAGTTTTTAAACGTTTCAAAAATATTCCTTCTGTAGATTCGTTTTTTATTTGGTCAGGCAACTTATTGTAAATCTTTATGGACATGATTAAGGGGCTAGATGAGTGTAAATTTAATTTAGAGGTTGGCAAAATTAATTTATTTTTGTTTCTAGTTGAGTATTTTATTGGGGCATCTCCTCTTTTATTATATAAATTTGGATGTTGACGCACAAATTTGCAAATCTGAAATATATAAATGCATGGCAAGCTAAGAATTTCATGTTTTTTAAAATGAGGCTTACATGAGTCTGTATTTTCAATATTTACTAAGATTCTCACAAGTTTCTTTTGCTGTGTGAAAATAATAGATGCATCCGTACTGTTCCCCCACAAAATAACTCCGTAATTCAACCAAGAGTATGCATAAGCATAATACATAGCCAGTGCAGTTTTCATGTTTGTTGTGCGTTTAATTTCGTAAAAGGCGTATGAAAAGCTAGCAATTTTCGATCTTACTTTCTGAATATGCGGTTTCCAATTTAAATGTTTGTCTATGGTTATTCCTAACAAACAAAATTCGCCGACAACTTCCAATGTTGTTCCGTTAAAGTTAAAGTTAATATCTATAGGTGCTTTTTGATATGGATAGAAAGACATTAGTTTAGTTTTTGACAAATTAATTTCCAAATTATGATCGCACATCCAATCGTTTATTTTATTAAATATTTCATTAAGTTGGTGATTTAGGTTTTTGTAACTTTGACATGACGTAAGCAGAGATATATCGTCTGCAAATAGAACACATGATTCCAAGGTTTCCGCCATAGTTGCAGGGAGATCGTTTATGTAAATCAGGAACAATAAACATCCAAGAACGCTGCCTTGCGGTATAGATGCATTTATAATCTTTCGGTCAGATCTTATATTTTTAATTTCGCTAGTTGAAGTATCGAAATATTCTATTTCTACGAATTGTTCCCTGTTTTTAAGGTACGACTTGAACCATTCGTGCGCCTTGCCACGGATTCCAATACCATATAGTTTATTTAATAAAATATTATAATTAACCTTATCCAGGGGCGGTTTATGCACTAGGCCCGCTAGGCCCGAGCCTAGGGCGCCGTGGCAGAAGGGGGCGCCACGGGCCGATAAATTTGAAAGATTAAAAGCGAGAAAGCGAACGTTTTAATCGGGTCCACTCAAACGTCAATATCGCCAATATAAAATATATATGTGCTCCATTCCTACCCACAAACCTACATAATATATGTATGATTGAAATTCTGTTTCCGTTAAATTATTTTTGAAATACACTCCCGCTCAAAAGTATGGGTTCACTCTTCGAAATTTTCAGCTTCGGTATAAGTTCCATATCTTGGTGGAAAAATGTCGTAAGAGAATTTAATGAGCACCGTTTTGAAGGGGACAGTTTTAGCTTCACTTTGCCATTTTTTATAATTTTTTACATTTTTTGTTATAGTCCCCACGCGCTTTTGAACATGGCAGTTTTTCGATGTTTTTTTGCCCTCTGGAAACGGGCTGTCTGGCTGTTAAAAAATTTTCCTTGCAATTTCATTCATCGCAGTTTCAAAGAGGATATTAAACACTGCATTTTTGTTTTTGAAAAAGTATCGTGCGATTTTTTTTACCAAAAATATTCTAATTTTCGACAAAAATTGATAATTTTATTCAATTCGGCGTATCTTGAAAACGGCGGGTGATCGAAGAAAATAGCAAGGGGGTGAAAAGTTGCAATAGATCATGATGGACCTTGTAGATTTATTTCAGAATTTTTTTCCGACATTTGTTTTTTCATACTCTTGCAGTCGAAATGATTTAAATTTTCTCATGATTTTTTCTTTTTTTTAGACGGCGCAGGCATTTCTTTTATTGCTTTTATAACCATCTTGACGTAATTTTTACTAAAAATCAAATTTCGCACAATTTTTTGTACGTTTTTTTCATTTAAAAAAAATAATTTTTAGTTCAAATTACGTCAAGATGAAGATGAAATCAATAAAAGCAATGCCTCAGCCGTTTAGAAAAAAGAAAGAATCATGGGAAAATTAAAATCATTTCGACTCCACGAGTATGGAAAAACAAATGTCGGAAAAAAATTCATAGATGTCCATCATGATGTATTGCAACTTTTCACCCTCTTGCTATTTTCTTCGATCACCCGCCGTTTTCAAGATACGCCGAATTGAATAAAATTATCAATTTTTGTCAAAAATTAGAATATTTTTGGTAAAAAAAATCGCACGATACTTTTTCAAAAACGAAAATGCAGTGTTTAATATCCTCTTTCCAACTGCGATGGATAAAATTGCAAGGAAAATTTTTTAACAGCCAGACAGCCCGTTCCCAGAGGACAAAAAAACATCGAAAAACTGCCATGTTCAAAAGCGCGTGGGGACTATAAAAAAATTGTAAAAAATTATAAAAAATGGCAAAGTGAAGCTAAAACTGTCCCCTTCAAAACGATGCTCATTAAATTCTCTTACGACCTTTTTCCGTCAAGATATGGAACTTATACCGAAGCTGAAAATTTCGAGACGTGAACCCATACTTTTGAGCGGGAGTGTATAAAAATCATTTATTCTAGCCTGTGCTTTTTCAACTATTTTATGGGGAGGGGAGAGGGGGCGCTAATTTCGTCAGGCCTAGGGCGCCCGTTTTCGTAAACCGCCCCTGACCTTATCATATGCTTTCGTCATGTCCAACAATACTCCTATTGCATATTTGCTATCATTAACTCTATTGTACACTTCCTGCATATATTTATAAACAGCATAAGCAGTTGATCTATGTTTTCGGAAGCCATTTTGGCATTCATCAAAAATTTTAAAATGTTCGCAAAATGTATAGACACGATTAAACATTGCTTTCTCAAATACCTTGGCAACCGTGGGTAAGAGAGCTATTGGACGATAGTTACTAGGTTCAGTTTTTTCACTTTTTTTATAAACCGGTTTTATAATTGATATTTTTAGTTGATCTGGGAAAATACCATCTTGGAAAGATTGATTAATTAAAAAACAAAGTGGAGGAGCTAACTCATCAGAACACTGTTTGAGTAATATTGGGGAAATTTCGTCAATCCCATGGCTTTTTTTATTCTTTAACCTTTTTATGATTAGGGAAATCTCTTGATTATTAACTGGAATAAGGTACATAGAGTTAACAATAGGATGGCTTACGGGGCGCCTATTGGCAGTATCACTCTTTGAAGGACCGCCCATAGACGCAAAGAAATTATTAAATATGTTAACTACTTGTTCAGGGTCAGAGACTAAGTTATTATTATATTTTAATTTTATATTATTTTTTTCCTTTCGTAAGGACTTATTAGTGCGTTCATTTATTACACTCCACATAGCTCTAACTTTGTTACTTGATTTATTTATTTTCTTTATATACTGTAATCGTTTTGCCGTAGCTATTGTTTTCTTCAATATTTTTTCGTATTTCTTATAATATTTATTTAGTATATCATTGTTTGATTTTTGTGACAGTACTTTCAGTAATCTTTTGTTACGACAAGAGCGCTTTATTCCAACAGTTAACCAATATTTTTTGTAAGTAGTTTTTAAATTAATTATTCGTTTTGGAAAACATTCATTCAGGTTTTTTGTTAAAATACTTTGAAATGCAGTGAAGTTCTCATTTAAATTATTTTCAGGTTTTAGATATTCATGCCAATAAACACTTTTTAAATTAGTTTTGAATTTTTCTATATTATTTTTATTATAAGTTCTTCTTTTTAAAAACCAACGATTCTGTTTAATTTGGGGTACTGTTATTTTCAGTATTATTGCCCGGTGGAATGATAACCCGAAATCTTCCACAGCGGTGTGGAATTTACTATGGTGAAAATTTGTAAATACTAAATCCAAGCAAGTTGATGATGTTTTAGTTATATGTGTTGGTTGCTTTATATATTGAGTGAAGTTAAATTCAGACATAAAATCCAAAAAAATATTTGTCTTAGAATTACTTTGTAATATATTCATATTAAAATCACCACCTATAACTACATTGTACTTACAATATTTTTTCCGTATGCAATTCAAATTTTTCTCAGTTGATCATAAAAAACTTCTTCTTCCCTTCTATTCCAATAAATAGTTACAACCAATAAACGTTCCTTTGCAAGTTCGGTTGCGCACACCTCAACTACGTAGTCAACTGACAAGTTTGTGATTTCTTCCACATGTACGCTCTCAATGTGCTCTTGAAGAAGAATGCAGGTACCTCCTCCAATTCTCGTCTTACGGCAATAAGCAGCTGCGACTTTGTAATTCTGAAATCTTATCAAGTCCAATTTAGCTTCAGTTAACCATGATTCAGTGATACAGATTAATTCGTACGGGTTGTCATTAAGAAATGCTGCTAAGTCATTTTGCTTGTTAAAAAGACTTTGAAAGTTTTGAAACCATATCTTAAATTGTCGGCCGGACTCTACGAAAGGAATTATTCTTGATGCCGTTATTTGTATCATGTGATTTATATTTATTTGAATCTTCTGAATTGAACTGTTTTACGTTTTTTTCTAAGGGTTTTTCAATTGGAATTATTTGCTTGCCTTCTATAAATAATTTATTATGACGAATGACAGGATATTGCCCATTCTGTCTAGCCTTCACCATTTCTTCTCTTAAAATTTTTCTTTCTTTTCTAGCGTTTTCATCTAAATATTCCGAAACTGATAAACGACTTCCTTTTAAGAAATAGCTGTTTTGCGTAATATATTTCGCCATCCTTTTGCTGATAAACTCTATAACTAGAGGTCTATTTTTATACTTATTACTGCCAATCCTATATGCGTCTTCCATGTAACTCAACATATCAACCTGGTAATAATCCCAGAATATCTCATTAAGCCGTTGGTAAAAATCATATTCATTTTCCACATTACATTCTTGAAGTCCGTATAGAACTATCTTTTTACTGTTACTTTCTTCTACAGATGGAGTATTCGGGGTTACAATATTTTTTTCCAGCTGCTGTATTTGTATTTTTAATACATCAGTGTCTTGTCTCAATTTCTCTATTTTAAAATTTATATTTTCTATGTCCATTTTTCTTTCGTCATTTAATTTAAAGAGTGTTGTTGTTTCCTTTGTGATCTCTTCCCTTAATTTTAAAATAACTTTGTTTATTTCTGTATGTATAGTACTTTTTAAATCAGAGATTACGGTTAAATTATTTTCTTGGAGTTTTAGAACAATAATTTTGCTTATATTCTCTAATGTTAAATCAGTGGAACTCCCAGATTTGCAAGGTATATCATTATTTTCTGCACACAGTGTCGCCGAGCATACTAAGATCTTCGAAGCTCAAAGAGTTATTTTTTTGACCAGTTATTCGCCTTCTTGTTGTGACGTTGCAATCTTCTGATATTAAATTTTGCTTTTCGGTAATATAGTCGTGATCTTGTGTACGCACAGGGGTGTTTGTATTGTCTATTTTCGGTATTTTACATAGACATCCCTGACATCGCCATTTCCTTTTGTGTTCCACTGACATTGTATTATAAAAACGTTGCGTAGATACATTTGCACAAATTAAATCATATTTGTTATTGCACTCAATGCAATTAAGGTATTGTCTGTCAATGATTGTTTGCAAACATCCAGCACACTTTGATGCCATCTTCAGTTTTGTGTATCAAACACTGAACAATTTCACAAAGCAACTTACAAATTAATGCTATATCGTTCTAAACCCGATTTGTAATGTTTTTTTGTGTTGTCAACAGATGTCGTTACTGTATATAATTTTATCTTGTTCGGTTTTAATTATAATGTATAATTTTATATGTAATGTTATTTATTATAGATTTTCCATACCTCAGTCTGTATTCTGTAACAGTACAATTAGTAAATGCTTTTCTTCCCTCAAATATTTATAAGAAAATCCAATACACTCGCTTCAACTTATAAATTGTTTGGGTTGAGACGGCCAAAACACTTTTTAGTTTTTCTTCATGTAACACTTTATTAATCTGTTCACTATTATAACATATTTGAACTGAACTTATATACTGAGTAATTATCTATTTTTTGTTGGATTATAATTATTTTACTATTTTAAAATGAAAAAATAACACAGATCCGTATTTCACTTTTTGGGTCACAACTACCATTCATCCAGATTTATCAGCACATGTCCGTATGTACGTATATGCATGCTTTGAGAAAAAAAAAGTTGTTTAATAAAAATTAGGTTCTTCATATAGATAATTGTTTATTTGTTAAATTCTCTTTTGTAATTTTTTTCCTCTGACAGGGTACATGTTAGGTACTTTATGCATTATGTAACTTGTAACCATCCATGTAACCACATGAGTGCAATAAATTGAATTGAATTGAATACGTTCAACATTGCTTTAATGTTACTTCATGTTGGATTAAGGAAATTACTTCATAAAATGTCTCACCAATATCAAAGTATTCCTTATCTGGCACATAGTCTGGATCTTGGACCGTGCAATCATCATCATAGTCGTCCGGTTCAAATTTCACCTCAAATCCCTGTTCTTGTTTCACTGGAACCTCGGAAACATGTTCTACCGGAACTAAAATTTTATCAACATGCAATCAATTTTTCAATACATAATTCCTATCATATAATAATGTGAATATTGCGTTAAGGTTTAGATTTACCACTACAAATCAAACTTTAATAGGAAATCCCCTAAAAATACCTCTTTTGACCAAATTTTTTAATTAAACAAGCAATGCAGCTTAGTTATTTTATATAAGTATATAATTAATATATATACCATTCACAAAGACCATTTCCTTCTTATCGGTTCCCTCTTTGAGCGCTTCAAGCAAGCGCTGTTCCGTCGAGACAACCATTGTACGAAAACTGGTTGCAGCTCTTAGTTGCTGCACACATGACATACATATCAGCTTACTTAAGTTAACATCTGTTGATAGCTAGAAAAAATGTAAGCCTGTTCACTAGATGCGTCTTCAGTTAATTAATAATATTTTTTTTTAAAGGTTAAAATTTTAGATTGTTTATTGAAAAACTGAAAAGTGTGAAGTTTTAATTCTGCCTCATAAGACTTGAAACACATAGAACATATAAGAAGTTTAACGAACATACATCTTAAAAATAAGAGAAAAGAAACAACATTGCAAAGTTAATGTGTTGCAATTATCTCATTTGTAATTCTTGGTACAAAGAAACTGCATGATATAACTACTTTCAACTACGTTACCATTGTCATGGAAGCCGTACGACTCTCAAACTAAATAATCATTTATTATTGTGAGTTTAAAATTATCATCAAGGTATTTATATTTAGACTTCAAAGTAAAGTCTGATCCTGTATCTTAATCAGTATTTTCGTCAACAAACACCATCACAACATACAACCGTAAGTAAATATTCAAATTTAAAATTATAAGAGATATGAGTTGTTATAATTTGAAATTATAAAGGATGGTCATAATAAGTAATTGAGATTAACTGTTTTCTGTAGTCTCTTATGTGCGCTTTCAGGCGTAAAGAGCATTAAAACTCAAGATTTTTTGGTCTATGTACTAAATAAGTAGTGCTATTGGACCTCAGTCATAACTATTATGAATACTGGTAACTGATCTTAAATGATATAAACGAACGGAATATGATACTTACAAAAAGATTATATGATTCCATAAAAACATCATAGTAGACTTCTCTTGCCCCATTGTTGTAATATTCCTTCATAATATCGCGATGATATCCCTTGGTTAAGCAACATCTGCATAGTCCGTAGCTTCCCAAACGTTTATGCTCCATTTTTAAACAAACAAAAGTGAACAAATTAATAAAATTCAATGTAAATCTGGTATATTTACCTTTCTCTAAGATGTAAATATATTTTTTTTATTATTATTATTCTTATTATTTTAATGGCTCGCACGGTTTGTGCATTGGCCACGACAGGAATATAAAATTAGGTACATTCCATCACCCAACTCCAGGGTTGCCAACCATAGATTTTTTCCTCGTACTAAGGATTTTTAGCTACCTAAAAATCTCGTAATCTGGCTTTCATATATCAGGGTACAGTTTGTCTATAAAATCGTGACATTAAATGATGACACCACTAGTATGCATGTAGCAACCCACAGTCGGACCAAAATGATTTTGATACTAGCAGTTCATTCAAGTAAAATAGGTAATTAATAAGACACACTATACAGTCGTATTTTGTTTCTGTTTTATATATAGTAGGTACCTATGCTTATAAAAAGTTAAGCCAAGCATATTTAATTGAATCAGAATAAAATTATTATAGATAAAATAGTACTTTTTAGTATAAAAGTGTGTAATGTTGGTGATTACCGCTGAGGTGCCATTGAGACCAGAGCCGTTATAACAAACTTGTTAAGAAAATATTACTGAAAATCATTTTGATAGTTTGAAGTGATAGGTATCTTCACTAAAAGCATCTGGCCATGGTTCTTTATGTGACCATTTCTTTCTTTGGTCTGCCTTGCCTGTTTTCCCAGGAGTTTCAAACTTTCCATCATTCTCAGCTCACCTTAATAAACCCAGCAACTTCTCCAGTGAATTACTGACGTGCAAAAACTCACAGCAGCAATCGGTGGATCACGTAAACTTCTATTTTGCCAATATGGGCAAAAAACTTGCTGAAGATATTAATAGTCAAACGCCCCCTGTAGTTACTCCAAATCCCATTTTCACATTGACATCACCTACATTTTCATCGTCCCCTGCAAATTCTTTTGTGCTATCAAGTACAACGATGGACAAGGTTGAGAGTACCATAATGTATTTAAGGGTCGACTGTGCTGTTGGATGGGATGATATTTCCACTAACTTCATTAGACGTTATAAAAACACACTCATACCTCTTATTGTTTATATTTGTAATCTAGCATTTGATACTGGCTGTTTTCCTTCCGCTTTCAAAAAGGCTCTTGTCCATCCGATTTATAAGTCAGGGGAAAAGGACTGCCCGAATAATTATCGTCCCATTTCTATATTACCAGCACTCTCCAAAATATTGGAACGCTTAATCAATAACCGTTTAATGGACTTCCTTAAGAGCACATCCGCATTGGCTCCTGGACAATACGGCTTTACTCCGGGTAAATCTACGGCAGATGCCGTTCATGAACTCACTGATCATATAGCGAGAAACCTTGATGGGAACAGAAAAACTATCTCCGTATTCTTAGACCTTGCTAAAGCATTCGACACGGTTTCAGTTCCCATCCTGTTGAAAAAACTAGAAAGAATGGGAGTTAGAGGCAGACAGTTATCGCTTTTCAGTAGCTATCTCACTGATCGTTATCAGTGTGTTACTGTTAATGGTATCAGGAGCCCTGACTGTCACATAGAATACGGAGTACCGCAGGGAAGTATTCTTGGCCCAACACTCTTTCTAGTTTATATCAATGATCTGGCTTCTCTTCAAATTCCCAACTGCAAGATCATCTCTTATGCTGATTACATCGTACTGATTTTTTCATCTGGCTCATGGAAGGAGACTTTCAGTCACGCACAGTATGGTCTCGATCTGGTATCCTGCTGGCTCCGAAATAACCTCCTGACCTTGAATATCCTGAAAACTCAATATATGATAATGGCAATTAAAAAAATCCACCTAAAATGACTAAGGATCTATCGTTAATAGCCCATTACCATCCTAACCCCTCAATAAATCCATGTGCCTGTCCTCCATTGGAGGCATGTGGGACTGTTAAATACTTGGGTGTCGCTGTGGATTCCAAGCTAACGTTCCTTGCCCATGTGGATCTCATTGCAGGTAGATTACGCAAACTAATGTACGTCTTCAAAAATCTCCGTCATGTAGCTGATTCGAGTCTGGTCCTATCGGTGTATAAATCCCTTTGTGAATCCATCGTAACATACTGCATCACCTCAGGGGAGGTACCTCTAAATCGATCTTAATAAAGCTCGAACGTGCGCAAAGAGCCGTACTTAAAATATGTATTAAGAAACCTATTTTATTCCCAACTACAGAACTTTATCAAATGTGCCAAGTTTTAAACGTCCGACAGTTGTTTATACTTAATACTGTTCTTAAACAACACAGCGCGGTGGATCCCTCCCTGCACTCTGCTCAGCGTAATCATCTTGTAGCTGTCACACCTCGGTGCAGAACTACTTTTGCACACCGTTTCTTTTATTTTCTGGGCCCATACTGCTATTATCTGCTCCACTCAAAATTAAACATTGTCCACTACACAAACAGAAATTGTAAAATCTTTGTTACTCAACTTTTACGTACTCAAACATACATAGAAACTCAGAATTTATTGTATTTCCATAGATAAATAAGAGTAATGTTATAAATCTCTCTCATTCTTTCAAATTTTGAAGTACCAAATATGCTTCACTTGTTACAGTTAAAAATTAAGACAAGTTGTTACTTGTAGGCTTTGATATTAATCAAAGCTTGTAGGTACTTATTCTTATTTTAAGCGTAGTCGTGTAACTTTTGTAATTTAAGATGTTTTTCTTTTCTTCCTATACCTACAATTTAATATGTAAGATCAATGACCTTATAATTTGATCAATGTACATTCTTCAGGGGAGGGAGAGTCCTGGTGCTCTGAGATACAGGCGTTCTGCCTAGTTCAGGCACCAGTCTCTCACAATCTACTTACTGTTTTTATATAAGAATTAAAGTATAATAAGTTTAAAGAAAATATAACTAGAAAAAATTCCACGCGGACCAGGCAGCAGACGGGACTCGAACCCGCACCCTTCGCAATCCGGGCGAATGCACTGACCAATTATGCTACCGCGGCCCTCACGGACCGCGTCGAAATTCTTTCTAGCTATTCTTAAGCTGCAAGGCTGCTGCTTTTTTCTAGTTATATTTTCTTTAGATTTAAACATCAAGCAGTTACATGCTTTAAAAATAATAAAAATTATAACTATAATTGCTATTTCATCTTTCAAATGTTTAATACTTGTAAAAGTATTCATTTGACATTGTGGGTTTACCTATAATGCGAAGAGATGGCGCTGCCTTGCAGCTTAAGAATAGCTAGAAAGAATTTCGACGCGGTCCGTGAGGGCCGCGGTAGCATAATTGGTCAGTGCATTCGCCTATTCGTACAATGTCAATCTAACTTAAACATGTGCAATGTAAACAATGCCTTTTTTGGTCTCAAAATCGTAAATTGAGTAAATTTGTAACTTCAGGCAGATTACAAACAAATAGTTACACGATTACATACCCGTCATAGATGCTGTTCGCCCATAAACATCGTCCAAATCCCACAAAATTCGTCCAGCTTGGTAGTCTTCGAAACATCGCTGGAAAACCTTAAAAATCACTTCCCGCGTGCCACTCCGATTTACTTTACTCATTTTTATACCTTTCTGCGTAGTTTCGTCTAAATTTATTACAGTTTAATCCAAACAATAAAAAATACAAAAGGAAAACTGTTCCACAACTGAAACTCGATGACAGCTATGTACATAAGTTTGGTGTTGCCAGACACATGAATAATGTTAGTTCCTCAAACATTCATCTCACGACTTTATAGACAAACTGTGCTGAGGGATCAAATACCATATTTCTAAAAAAACTGTCTAATTTAATTTTATTAGGCTTTGCTAATAATATAGAATTTTGAAGAAAGCTTTTACTGTCAAAAATATGATTTAAGCAAAATATAGTAGATTTTGCCTACTATATATATTTTTTTAGAAATATTGTATTTGATCCCCATAAATAGTAGGTTACATTTTATAGTAGGGTTGGCGGTTGCCAACTGCAGTCCGAGCAGCGCAGATGAATTCAAAATCTGAAACAAGAATGACTTAAACATTCCGGTCATGACTAGAACCCTGCGCGGGCAACCAGTTGCCTGCTGCCCAGTGTTGCCAGTACCTGCGTCGTGTTTCGGACGATTCGAAATCTGAAAAGGGACGATTTTTAGTCAAAAAGGACGGCCTTACAGAAATATTAAACTAAAGGCTGAACTATATTTATCTTACGTGTTGTATTGTGGCGCAATCTGCTTCATACATTTAGTACGGTTAGCACTAAGAACTATACCTGTGTGTCGCGATGTTTCGACAGCGTTCTCACTTTAACCATAATTGTATGAAAGAGATAGCTCTCTGATGTGTTACAACACAAAACGACAGGTAAGTGTAGTTCTATCATAATGCGGTTAAATGAAAAAAAAAAACGAGTGTGTTTAGGAACACACGACTGAAGTGAAACTTCTATAGCTCCAATGATCTGAAATTTGATAGAAAAAAAACCACCAATCCGCACTGGGTCCATTATCACACACCAATCCGCACTGGGTCCATTGCCACCGACTAACCCACGCTGTGTCCGTTATCACCCTCCAATCCGCACTGGGTCCATTATCACCAACTCATCCGCGCTGGGTCCATTATCATCCACCAATCCGCACTGGGTCTGTTATTATACACCAATCCATACTGGGTCCGTTATCACCCACCAATCCGCGCTGGGTCCAGTGTCACCCACCAGTCCACACTGGGTCCACTATCATCCACCAATTCGTGCTGGGTCCATTATCACCCACCAATCCGTACTGGGTCTATTGCCACCGACCAATCCGCACTGTGTTCGTTATAACCCTCCAATCCGCACTGGATCCATTATCACCAACCCATCCGCGCTGGGTCCATTATCACCCACCAACCCGCACTGGGTCCGTTATCATCCACCAATCTGCGCTGGGTCCGTTATCATACACCAATCCACACTGGGTCCGTTATCACCCACCAAGCCAAGCACTAGATTTATGTATTTTGTTACAGGTATTGTTCATTGTTTACCGATGAGTCACCGATGACACTAATCGTAACACGAAATCGTAACAATTCGCCAGTTTACCCCCCAAGTCAAGGCGTGCCTAAAGAAGTTTCACTTCAAAAAACATTTTAACAGAGCCATATTAACTATA